GACATGGCAGCATGGGGGTAGGGACAACAGGCTCTTCCATACCCTCCCAGTGCTCTCCTTTTGTCTGCATGACAAGTTCTTCACTCCTATGTAACCTACAGAGGTGTGTGTTTGTGTGCAAAGACAAGGCAGAACCTGTCAGACCACTATCATCAGCTACAGGAGTGACAACATGTGCATACACCGAGCGTGTTTTCAGGTACTGTCGGAGCTCTTTTCTCAAAACTAGTTTATATAAACCACATCCCTTTCCCTTTAACACGAGTCTTCAGTGTTGAAGCAGCTCAGCTGTGGTGGGCCACTGAAGACACAGAAGATGGCACAGCTTTCAAACAATGAGAACAATCTTCAGAAAAGAGACTGTTTAAATATTATACTACTATTTACTCTTTCTGAGTTTGTCTGTGCGTTTTGTTTTGTTTTATTTTTTTATCTAATTCAAATTTTACATGATGACACAACAGCAACTTTGATATTCAAGAATTTATGAAAATGCCAGTAATTTGCTAGTTAGGTCATTTGCAGTGTGGGGATTTGTTGCTTTTGCTTCTTTCAAATTGGAATGAATAAAATATCAGGAGGTTTTGGACATTTCTTGTGTTACCTTGATCTCCAAAACCTGCTATGATGATGTTCACCATTTTCCACTACTATTTATTTATAGCTGAAATTATTCATTGGAAAAATAGTTAAGAATAAAAATCACTTTACTGAAAGTCTTCATTTGTATGATAATATAATAAATCCTTATTCTAAGCTTTAAAATAAAAGCCCCACTTTAGGTGGTGTATCGAGTATTTTTAACTAGAAGTGAATGCAGGTTTGAAAAGTGTATTTGTCTTGTGAATTTATCCATACAGGATCACTTCAGTTGTTTGTAATGGAACATTTTTACATGTGGTATAGCGACTCTTACTAAAGTAAAGGATTTGCATACTTCCTTTACCATTGTAAGTCATTTCAGTGTAGGTGCTGCACTATGTAATTCTGAGCGATAAGCGAGGAGTGTTGATTTGTACCGTCATACTATAGAAACACACGATATATTATACATTAAAGCATAATTTATAAATATATCGATACACATTTATATATAAAAATGCCACTCAAACAAACATTTCTTCTTATTATTTTTATCTCTGCTGCATGGACTTTTTTGGTACCATGGATTTTGTGTGTAAGTGTTGTAGGAGTGATGCGTGGGACCGAGGACAAGTCTGCAGTTGTGGCTCACGAGTGAATAAGCATGCATAAATAGGAATAATCATCACGTGTAGGCTACGTGTTCAAAGTTTCAGAGCATGTTTTTGTCTGTCTGCGCTTTATCTTTTGCCAGCTTACCCTCATTTTCCTCTTGTTTTCTGTTCCACTGTGTGTGTGTCTCACAGTGTCTCAAGGGAAAATATTAAGCTTTAGTTCAAGGCCGAACACGGGGGGAGAAAGAGTGTCTCATACAGGAGGGGAGCAAGCTGGGATAAATATGAAATAATATGAGCATTGTTTGGCCGAGCAGACGTTTGTAGGAATTTACATCGAATAGCATTCAAATGTCAGGGACAGCGTAGATACCGTCTGTGTGAGAGAGAGAGCAAGACAAGGAGAAAAAAAGTACCATATATGGCAAAGACGTCGCCTAGCAACCGGCTCAGCCTTCAGCCCAATTTTCCATGACACACACTGAACTCTGAATACAAGACGGCATCGCTGCGACTGTGAGTGTATGCATGTGTGAGCAAGTATCTGCTCACGTCACCGCGCATGTAAATGCAAGGTTTGGCTGAGTGCTGAAAGCGTGACCCCAGCATTTAAATGCAACAACAATAAACACACACACCCTCAGTCTAATAATAATAATAATATAATAACTGCAGAGCTTTTACTCAACTACAAGGGGACAAAAAGTCCCATTAAAATTAGCTCTTATCAGAAACCACAGGCCAGCGTCATCCTGTTTGTTACAGAAGCTCAAGTGCAACTCCTCAGGTTGCTCATTTCCTGGCTGTCAGTATAATAGCCAGGAAATTACACTGTCCACTGACCTGCTGATTCAAGAGCTCATTACTCTAACTGCTAATGAATCAATCCATTTGTCGTGTGTAGAAATGTGTGTTTTCCCCACACGATGTTCCTATGATTTAACTGACATGGGGACAGAAAAACACAAATGTGACTAATAAATACCAACACAGGAGTTGGACCCTTTGTTTGTTTGTTTTTTGTTTTTTTAAACCAGCTGTATTTTAAAATCCACCCACCATCCAACATCAAAAATAAAATATTGTTTGAGTGCATAAAAGACAACAATCTCAAAAACACATTGGGAGAAGTGCTAAAAGGTGTCTGAAGCTGAAACTAATAGACAACAATTTCCTATTTGATTATTTGTTTCAACCATTTTTCTCTCCAGACTTTTGCTTCTATAATGTGAGGATTTGCTGTTTTTCTCTACTCCGCAACACTGTCAACTAGATGTACAAAACAAAACATTTTTTCACGCCATTTTCTGGCATTTCACAGCTAAAACCCAAACAGCAGGTTAAACGATCTAAAAATAGAGCTGTGGGTAAACACACAAAAAAAACAATACTTTAAATAGTTAAATTCAATCTTTAAGAAGTAGGAAAAAATAAGTAGGCCAGAATCGTTGTTGATTTAAAAAATAAAATAAAATAAAACAAAACAAAACGAGAGATATACATGTTTCACCTAGCTAAGGACAGTTGATGGGTGGAATATATATATATATAGATATATAGATATAGATACACATATATATAGAGAGAGGGAGGAATGCTTATATAAAAAGGCTTGATTTATGTCACAACTAATGTGAAACCTATTATCGATGTTTCATATATGTTATCTTTGCTAATCAGTGTCTTATCTACACTAATTAATGTTAAGGTTTATGTGTGTGATAAATATGTAGGCACTTTTGGTTCTGTTTTGTCATCAAACTATATCACATTTGGGAAACTGAGATAAAATATCACATAAAAAATTGAAAAGCTTCAACAGTCCACATGACTGACTTCATTTTGATGACCTGAGCTCTCACTGTGGTACACATGTGCATCAGAGTCACATCAATAAGTTATTAGACATCGATCAGAGCCTATCTCTACCTCACAGTGATTGTTAGGACACTAGTGTTTAGTGCAGCTGTCAGATAAAGTGTGTTGGACAAAAACTAACAGCAGGAACATGTGTTAAAGGGGGCCTGTACGTGCTCCAAACTGCTACCATTAAGTCAAACTGAAATCCAAACTTTTTCATGTTTTTCTGTATTTCTCCTTTGGGGGAATAAAGAAGAAAATTCCTGACGAGGGTGGACTGTCTGCTGTGGAAAAATAACTACTGGGCCTAGATTATTACAAAAACCTCTGCCAGGTTTCTAGTGTCTGGCTCAGAGCAATATGAAAAGCACAGTGACAGTTGAAAATATTTCAACAAGAATGCTCGGTGACGTGGCCCGCACAGAAAACCTGGACAGTCAGGATTCACATGCTTCCGAGAACAGAAGTGGAGACACTGGAAGACCGTCTCCAGTGGAGACATCCTGTTTTTAAGACATTCCTAGCACGTGTTAGTCAACAGCACATCAAAGCTTTCTGACACTGGGGAGAAACATCACAACTTCCTACTTGGAAACTCTAAACTACATTTCATGTCTGGAGGAGAGGAAAACCTGAAGCCTCTAGAGCTTTAAACTAACCCACTCTGATAGCATCGGTGGAGTCGGTTTACAGTGTGAGGTGGCAACTGTGATCAGATGACAAATAATTCAAAAATGCATTCAGACAGTATTTAAACAGCCCCAAAGCTGAGCTCATTGAAGCCATGTGATCATGAGGCATGGGTGCTGAAGGACGCAGAAGTGGGGGATTGACATTAAAAGCAAGTTTTCTCTCCTTTGATCTGAATTTGTTATAGTCATGTTTCATTATCAGGGTGGCGTGAGTCAAACTCTTCACACTGTAAAGCACACAACAGACAAATTATTTCAAAGGTCGCTTTGCTTGTAATTGGTGATAGAGATCCACCATGAAGCACACACTGAGTAGAAAACCTCTCTTATGACAAAGGCCTTACTAACTGTTTAACGTAACAAACTACCATAAAACATCAATATAACGTAGATTTAAACAGAATGGGAAAATTTAACCCTTGACATCATATGTGTTTACCACTGACACTGACTAACAGAACCTTTGTTGTGCCGGGTTTATTCGTGCACAGCAGGTGGGTAAATGTCCTAAGTCAGTGTGGAAATCCATGAGTGACCATCTTCATGCTCCTCTTGGATATCTGATGATTAACCCTACTCGGGACTTTTGGGGTCTTTTGGACCCCAGGCCATTTGGTTTAGGTGTTGGGGTTTTTTTTTGTTTTTTTAATTTTTATTTTTGAAGATTTTTTTTTTAATATAAAAAGAGGAACATTTGTCATGCATTTGGAACCAAAAATATGTCATTTATCAGAAAATTTATTTAACATAGTATCAAAGTCTATAGTGAATACCAACAAATATTTTGCACAAATTCTTTCTTGAGGTCCAATGGACCCCGGAAGACCTTCTACGTATGGCAACATGAAAGTCCTGAGTCGTGTTACACAATGCGCCTGTGGCTGAAGCTGTCACAGGACATGTTACATCTATTCTACTACCTTATTTTTCCACTAGCCTCTTTATTTATACCTGTGTGTTCATTGTCGCCTGACACCATGATTTATACAGAGCCCTAATCACACACTGTATGTCTGCTATGGTATGCAGTCATTGCACAATATTTACATTACTCATTTTTTTGATAGCACAAACAGTGAGACAGGTTTATGATTTTTCCCTCCCTGTGAGTACAGCTGTGAGTTTTTTTGAAAAATAAATGGGACATACAGTACAGTTAAACACGTATAAGCAATGTGTGATTATTGATGAATGAATGGCATAGATGACTTTAGCTGTCTGTAGGGGAAAACATGATTTCAAAGGCACTCACCCCTGTCCCATCGTCCGGGCTGCACAGAGACCGGGCCGGAGACAGACTGGACTCGATGTCGCTGCTGGTGAAGTCGTCCTCGGACTCCTCGAAGGACGAGGCGGAGGACAGGCCGATGGAGGAAGAGTTGGACAGCTTCCTCGGGGAGCGCATCAGAGCCGGGGACCCTCCGCAGCCGCTGTCCGAGCAGGGAGACTCGTCGTCCGGATGGGGATCCAGACAGGAGCCGGTGCTGAGCCGGACGGTCAGCACGGCCGGTGTCACCTGAGGACGAGTCGGACTGGGGTCTCTGGTTATGATGAGCTTCGGTATAGTTCCTGGAAAACTTTGGCCTCCTGTGGGACTCTGCTGGGTCTGATCAGACTCCTTCTGGCTCTCGGGTTCAACTGGACAGCAGTTGTTTTGGTCCCCGGCCGCTTTGGGCGAACATGAGACGGTACTACACTCAGTTTTTGTCATTTCAGCCTCCTTCGTAACAGACAGCCCACCATCCAAATGTGGATCCGGGGGCAAGCTGCACACAGTCCGCTCAGTGTCCGGGTCAGAGGTGAGCAGCGGGGCTGAACTCGGACTGGTACCAGTTAATACTCTGACCTCAGACACAATGCGATCCTGGTTGTTTCCCCCCAGCGGCTGATCTTCCATGGCCCTCGTCGGGGGATCCGAGGCATTGTCCTCTCGCTCCTCGCAGCCCGCACCGCTGACTTCACCGGTCCGCGTTTCCAAGCCAGACGCATCGGACGGGCCAGCCGTCGCCTCTCGGTTCACGACGTGCTGTACAGCTTCGGTACTACCATCCGGTAGGCCGGGTGCTGTCTCAAAACAACCCGGGGCTGCTCGGTGCTCCCCAACCGCCGACACAACCTCGTCCCTCGGCAACTTTCCCACTCTGTGTCCGCGGCGCGTTTCTGGATCTCCAGCTGCGTTTCCGCAACCTAAATCCTCTTCAGTTTGGCTGGAGTCTCGCTTTCTCCTTCCCAGACACGACAGCACTTTGTTTTTCATCGGATTCCTGTTTAGCTGGTCACTCCGTGGCTTCTCTCCGCTTCTAAATCTGCGGATACGGAGTCGATGGGCTGCCTCGCCCGCTTTCCACTTCGCTCTGCCTGGGGTGGCGGTGCTGTGCGAGAGATCCGAGCGAGTTTGGCCCATCCTGCATGCCGTAGTAGTAGCAGCAGCAGTGACCCAGACACACCCTCAGTGTTTGATTTTGAAAAGAGATGAAACTACTCAGACCGTGACTCGTACCATTTACAGTAAGCCATTAGTCATACAATCCATGTATTAAGCCAGGGGAATCTTAAATTGTTCCACTCCTTCCATCCACATTGTGATTTTCCCAATCTGTGAAACCAAGCAGATGATGAATAAATTAGTAAACACAAAAACTGAAAGAACAATAGCCCACTTTTGCAATTTACCCCGTCACAAACACTCCCTTACTTTGAGGTCCATGAAACAGAGCTGTAATCATTAACAGCACACAAAAAGCACCTGCATGTTTTCAAGAGCTGCAGTGAAACAAATGCAGATTATTATTACTCAGGCTTAGCTCAAGAATGCAAATTAATCTGCTTCTTAAATTCAAATTTCCTTTCCTGGAAAACCTACATTACTGAAACTCCCTGATGAAACTGAAATCAGCACTAGAGTACGGAACACATGAAAGGAGAGAAGATCGAAATATTGCCGAAAAACACGCAAATGCAAATAATGGCAGGTTTCACTGATTTTCTGACTCAGTTTCACCACTATTAGTCAGTGTAACACTGCCCTCCTGTGTCTGGACACTCTACCCAGGTCCAATTAAGCTTCACTTACACATGATAGCTATCTGTAAAGTTTTTTTATGAAGAAAAAAAAAATACCGCCAAAGAAGATACAGTGTGGATAAGATAAAGTCAACATACAAGCAGCACCGACTGTTTGTTGCTGTGTAAAACAAAACATTAATGTGTCGGAGGTAATAATTAAGAAAGGTTAAATCAAATACCCTATTTCAGCCAGTGCTTTACTTTGTAATAAGTGTAGGGCTTCAAATAAGGATCATTATTGATTAATCAATCATGATTTCATCAAAAGGATAACAGAAAGTTACAAAAAATGTCTATCACAGTTTCAAAGAGACAAAAGTGACATCTTCAAGTCCAAAACCATAAATTCAATGTGCAAAGATGAAGAAAAAAAGAAAAGAAAAAAGTCAGAGTGAGCAAAAACCTGGTATTTTCCTTATTAAATCATTTAAATCCCTAAAGTACAACTTCAGCTTTTTTCCAAACTTCCTATCATTACACAATGAGCAGTATATCTATGTCGAGTACATCTTACTTCCCTCCATGTGGCCTGTTTTGAGAGCTCCACATTCATTCGCCTAAATCAAAGTAGAGTCTACTTCAAAGCAGTGCAAGCGGCCCTTTTTTTTCCAACTCGATGGCCTAGTTATATAACATGATTTGCCTGTTTAATCATTTATTCATAGCCATTAATCATCAAGCATGCATTAAGCATGTCAAAATGCAGCTTCAACTTCAGTGTTTGGTGCAACCAGTTAATTAAAAACTGGAAAACATTCATTTATCTTCTCACAGAGATTTCCATACTACCATTTTGCAACATTTTACATGCAAATACAGTATGAAATGGCTGCTTTCTTCAGATTTAAAACACATTTCATGACTTCCTGGAACAATTTAAAGTTTATGACACTTGACACAGAGAGGTGTGGAGCTTCTGAGCGACTTTCATTGTAATTTAATGTGACAGCGTTGCAGTCAGTCGGCCACCAGGAGGAATGCATACAGAGAGGAAATAAGACAGGAAGGATAACAATGGAAAGAACAGCTCATAGTCAACCACACATAAGTACATACACTCAAGTACATGATTGTGTAATCATAAATATACATAATCACTAATACTAGGGTACTGAAAGTAATGAACCACACTGAATCGTGTGTGTATGCACATATGAAGGCGCTCATCCACACACACTTCAGAAGTGACACATACTTTATAGGAAGTTGGTAATTTTGCAACACATATACTATATATAAAACACTAAAAAAGCATATCTATGAAGTCAAGACATTAAATGGCAGTGCTATCCATCACAGTGTCATCACTTATCTATTGAGTTTACTTATCTTGTTCTATATTTATTCAATCAAAAGGACACATGTGGCCCCAGTGATCACCACAGACACTCGAGATTATGGAAAGAATTAATCAGTGAGATATCTCTTTAAAGACGTTTCAGTTAATCATTTGGAAGATGTGGCCTGATGACTTTAAGGGACTTTAATGTGGACTTTTTTTTCTTAAATAAATATATTTAGTGAAACTTTAAGCCTTGAAAACAATGTTTTACTTTAATATTAATCCAGACTTTAAACTGTTCAAAGATCAAGCAGTCATGCTGCATTTCCTGTAATAAAAATAAATAAATAAAAAGTGATCTACCTTTCATTCAATTTGATTTTAAAGACACCTTTTTGGCTACACAAATCGCCCAAACGGAATACAAAGGACAGCTACAACACACACACACACACACACACACACTGGACAGAAAGTTCAGCCAAACTTACCTCCGCCGGTCTGTGTGAAGCAGCTGTTAAAAGGCTGGCAGCGATGTGGAGGTTTATGACTTACTCAGGGTGTCAGGATGAAGTGTCTGCGGCTTATCTGCTCAACTAGTGTGTGAGTGTCTCAGCATGTGGTTGAAATAAAGAGGAAATGCTCGTCAAAACAGGGGCAGGTCTAGCAAACGTTCAGGCTCATTTACTTCCAAACACATGAGCTAACTAGCATTCAACCAAGTAACGCTAGTTAAACGCAGACACAGCTGAAACGCGAATTCAACCAGAAAGACGGTAGATACGAAGTAAGCGCAACAAAAGGCAATCAAGTGAAATGTTAAAAACCCAAAGTGTCGCTTCTTCTGTGTCTAAGTTAACGTTACAAATTGTCAGAAAGCGGCATGACAGGAGCCTGTCAGTGGATTTACCGGTGTTGCCTTCAAGTGCTCCCCGACCTTCCCCATTTGTAGCCGTTAGCACTTCATTATTTCTGCATATTTTACATTTTAAATAAACATTTTTAAAAATTATGACCCTCATACAAGTGCAAATAGCGTGTTTGTATGTCAGATAAATTAAATATTAGTGATTTCACTTCTTTGTTGTTGCTTTTGTGGAAAAACATAAAAACGTGTAAGTAAAAACTGCAGCATTTCCCCCCAGCTAGGCTTATAGTCATTTAAAATTCTGGGATTATGGATCTTTAAAGTGTTCAGCGCTAAATAAAAAAATATGCATTAGCAAATAATGCAAAAAATATAGATTTTTTTAAATTAAAGAATTCACTCTATTTCATAATAAACGGACGCCTTTTTGGCGAGTTCTTTATGTTTTCATTTGAGTTATTTCCATAATAAAAACCTATTTTTTCTACATTTTTTCATAATATAGCTTTTATTTCATGTCATGTTTGATTTCATCGTGTCTTTGCCATAACATACCACATTGTATTCATATTGTTTGAACTTACTAATAGTCCTACCTTACAGCACATCTGACAGTTTACAGGGCAGGAGCAGCTTTGACAAGCGAACGAAAAGCAAAAATACCGATCACTTACTGTGTCTGTATTATTTACAAAAAAAAAAAAACTTTAATTGCTGTTGTTTGAGCTAGCGTAATCTAACCTACTAAATATTGTGCGTTGAAAAACTTAGTTGCCAATAGAGCCAAGGGCCGTGGCATAATGAAATAAACGTGACAACTCAACATAAAAGTGACATTCTGAACAAAGTTATGAGGGGAAATAAAAGTGGACTTTTGGAAAGGGTTATTTGAAATATAATGTCAATTTTTAAAAAAATCAAAACCCAGCTCATAACGGCTGATTAAATCGTTCACAGGGAGAAGACTGAGTTTTGATTACGTCTATAAAAGGTTTGCAATTCCATGACTCGTGCATTTTATACTTTTTATTTTTATGTACTTTTTTATTCAGTATTAAACTCGCAGTTGGCGTTCTCTCAAAGCACTTGAAAGCCGCATTCGTTTTTGGGGTTTTTTTTTATGTGTTTTAGAACAGTCATTTGGAAGTTGTGCTGTAATGTATTACCTTTTTTATTAAACGAAAGAACAAATAAAGATCCACGTCTCTGTTAAATCATGTTTTTCTCCCTTTGCTTGCTTGCTTTCAGCGTTTCAAAGTAAACGCGAATGTTAGTACTTTTGGGACCTCTGGCTTTCCGTAGTGCGGAAGTCGTGTTTCACAACCAGGCACCAGCGGAGCTCCGGCGTGACATTCACCGGTGTGTCGGGGTCGTGTAAAAGCAGCAGTACGACCACCCTGTGCTCAATAAGCTGTTGTCAAGATGAGGGTACTGAAAGCGGGTCTGTCTTTGGCCAAAACACATCTTCTGGCGCCGGGAAGCGTCACACTTAAAAAGGTAACATTAGCTAACCTGACTCTGAACCTCTTTATGACCTGCCAAGCTGTCCACCATCATTCATCTGCGTTTCACAATCGGTAAACAGACAGAGAACAGTTTGAATATTGACCTTCCCCTGTCTCATATCCTCAGGTGCTCATCAACAGCTGCCGGACGTGCTCCTCCGGTGTTTTCCCCAACGAGAGGATCCGCAACATCGGTATCTCGGCTCATATCGACTCGGGGAAGACCACCCTGACCGAGCGTGTCCTCTACTACACCGGCAGGATAGCCGAGATTCACGAGGTGAGCGCTCAGGTGGACTGTGTTTGTATTTTCATTCATTCAGGTGAGGTTTGCAAGTGTGTCTTCATGTGCTGTCTTTCTCCCCCCTGTGGTCTGCAGGTGAAGGGGAAGGATGGTGTTGGAGCCACTATGGACTCTATGGAGCTGGAGAGACAGAGAGGCATCACCATCCAGTCTGCTGCTACATACACCGTGTGGAAGGATCACAACATTAACATCATTGACACCCCAGGTACTAAATGCTGTACTTGAGCTGGGCGGTTAGGGGCAAAATGTAGGTTTTTATAAACCCATATCGTTACTTTGGGTGCAATGTAAAGCCCGACTGATATATTGGTACGGATATATCAGCATCAGTGTATATGGTGACCATTTTGTGCCAATTCCCAAAATTGGGGTCATTTAGAAACAATGTCATCAGATAGTTTGTTTGGCTGTGCACCTCCAGCTCACAACACTGCCTACAGCACATGTAGCAGAGTATCTATTACAGCTGAACAGACAATGGTGTGGAGTCAGCCTTTGTCTTCATGATAAATTGTTAGCTAGTTTGTGAAAATCCATCCATCCATTATCTATATGCCGCTTAATCCTCACTAGGGTCGTGGGGGGCTGGAGCCTATCCCAGCTGACTCAGGACGAAGGCAGGGGACACCCTGGACAAGTCACCAGTCTATCACAGGGCTACACAGAGAGACAGACAACCAAGCACACTCACATTCACACCTACGGACAATTTAGAATCATCAATTAACCTCAACATGTTTTTGGACTGTGTGGGAGGAAGCCGGAGAACCCGGAGAGAACCCTCGCTGCACGGGGAGAACATGCAAACTCCACGCAGAAAGATCCCGGGTGTCCTCACCAGGATGTGAACTGGCGACCTTCTTGCTGCGAGGCAACAGTGCTAACCACCGATCCACCTTGCAGCCCCAGTTTGTGAAAATGGTGCTGGAAAATCAAGAAACACTTATTCCACCATTACGTCTTTGCAATATATTTCTAACATATATCAATATCAAAATGTTTCACTTCCTAAAATAGCGATCAGCATTGACGACAAAAATCCAGTATCAGTCAGGCTCTAACATCGATTTATCTATGACAGGATAATAAAGCAGAGCCACCTTAAAGCACTTTCATAAAATTTGGTGACTGACAGTCTGAAGAATAAATGGTCAAAACTGAAGCAGGAGAGGCAGCTATATACTGACATTCAGTCCTTAACTTGGGTCCAACTCCAAACTTTTAGAAGCTGCATTTCCCACAGTGCTTCTTTGTAATAATTAGACCCTCTCTGCCTGGAAAATGTAATTTTCCCTCAAATCAAATTATCTCAATTTGTACCAAAGGCTCTCTGCTACTGATTTGTACCCCTCATGACATTGCCGGGGTTGATTTTCAGACTCACTATGGTGGTTTTCACAGGCTGAGCAGTTTTAGTCATGATGAGTTAACTAATCCTGTGTAAAATCAGTGAAGCGCCCTTTCAGTGCCTCTCTAATATCAGTTAATTGTGTGCTGTAGTGGTGTATGTTCTCAAACAAGCGAATGCTGGTCAGTTTGCCATAGAAACTGCTTGAGGTAATAACTCATGGAGTCTGACTTAAGAATGAAAACTTTAGTCTTTATAGCTTTGTAGTGTCTTTCGGTTGTTTATTTAAAACAAACTAACACATAGAATATAGGGCCTTGGGCAAAACAAAGAATAAAGTAGGATTTTATGTCTTTTAATTCAATGCCTCTGGCCCCTCAGCTGTTCAAATTGCAATGCATATTGCATACTTCTGTATGCAGCAGCAGTTAAATACATCAACTTCTCAAATAAAACTAAATATAAAAACGCTGCAGAGATTTAAGCATCTTGTTGGTTCTCACCACTGAGCCACAACTTGTCTGCTCTGTCTCGTCATTTTCTGTCAACCCTTTACTGCTATAGTATCCTAAACATGCTGTAACAGTGAATATAATTGTGTACATCTGTGCTTGCCGAGACACAGACATGCAGAGTCTTTAACAGATCAGGACAGTAGTGGTTTCACAAGTCAAAAACATTACGTAACCACATTTACAGTACTGTGGTTCTAAATATGTCCGACCCCTACCTATTTCCCAGGTCACGTGGACTTTACTATTGAAGTGGAGCGAGCGCTGCGTGTGCTGGACGGAGCCGTGTTAGTTCTGTGTGCAGTGGGAGGCGTCCAGTGTCAAACCATGACAGTGAACAGACAGATGAAACGCTACAACGTCCCCTTCCTCACCTTCATCAACAAGCTAGACCGAATGGGCGCCAACCCCAACAGAGCGCTGCAGCAGTTGAGGTACAGTTTTAAACATATGTGTCCGTGCATGCTTGCTAAAGTGCTTCTGGTCAGTTACACATAACCAAAGCAGACATCATAGTATTTTTTTTTCTACTTGAGGCCTCGGTAGCGATAATTTAACAATATCTGAACAATGGGGCTTCTAGCTGATAATGATGACTAATGTACAACTCCCAACTTGAATGGAAAAAAACAAGAGATCTCACACACTGTCTGTCACTGGAACTCACCTTTTAACACAAATGTTTGAGTCATCAAACTTTTATGAAGCAAAATATCTACAGGCAAAGAGTAGGATGGGAGCAGCGCTACATAAATAAAGGTGTTTCTCTTGTTTTACCTGTATGTTGATGATGTTTGTCATGTTAGTCACCAGGAACTGTATTTATACTATATTACAGTATTTAAATAAAAATCCCAGGTCAGATTGCAGCATAGATTAAAATCATCATCGTCTATTTGCATGATCAGTGAGGCCTTTCTCTAATAATATTGACATTGTAATTCTATATGTATCCAATATGCATTTTTCCAAATGTTTCTTAATTGTTTTGTGTGTGCAATAAATCAAATAACAGAAATAGACACAATATAATGTGAATAAAGTAATAGACTGGATTCAGCTTCATGCAGCTTCTGTGATTACAACAGTAACAAACCCAATGCTGGCATTGCTTCTTTAGGCAGTGTTCACTAGTGGACATGAAATCAGTTTTGTAAGAAGTCGTGATTTTCCTTTCTGTATGTTTCTCTCTCATTTAAATGGGTTTTGACTCTTTCTCTTTAGATCCAAACTGAATCATAATGCAGCCTTTGTGAACATCCCCATTGGCCTGGAGGGGAACATGCGCGGCATCATTGACCTTGTAGAGGAGCGGAGCATGTATTTTGAAGGGCCATTCGGGTAAGGGATGCACAGGGTTGTTCTTATTTGCACTGAACCATAAATGAGACGGACTGAAGACAGCTTAGCTACAGCAGAATTAAAAGACCTGCAGGTGTCAATGAGAAAACCATTAAGGGATTAAGTGTTAATACCAAACTTCTTTCTTAATCTGAGCCACATAAAATGGATTCAAACTGTTTCTGCCTCCTGCAGGCAAAATATCCGCTATGATGAGATCCCAGCAGATTTTCGTGCTGAGGCTGAAGAGCGGAGGGAGGAACTGGTGGAGTGTGTCGCTAATGCTGATGAAATCTTGGGAGAGATGTTCCTGGAAGAAAAGATTCCAACCAAGGACGACCTGAAGGTTTGTGCCTGAAAAGAGAGAGGACACGTGTATTAATGTGTGAAATCTGAGGGATTTCAGAAAACTGTAAAAAGGCCTCAAATGGTCCTGAAAATGAATGTGGGCAATTTAAAAGAAGTTCTTAAAATGAAAACAGGAAGCTCAGTCATGCTAATATATCACTCAGTTTTAAAATAACTAATTCCACCACAACTTGTCAGCATGAGTAAACAAGGTCAAAAGTTAGCAACACTGTGGGGCTCTAGTTTCAGCACAGCAATCTTTTGAGTGAAATGCCAACAACAACAAATTAGCGCCAAACACAAAGTGCAGCTGAGGCTGAGGGAAAGGTGATTAGTTGTACATCAATCAAAGTATTGGAAAAATTAACATTTTGCCATGAAAAAGGTGCTAAAATAAAAAGTTACTGAATCACTTATTACATTTCATCCAGATGCAATGTACATGTGTCTACATACTAAATGGTAATCCACATATTACTTGAAACATATTACTTGGTGCATGAGGTAAAGTCAGTAGAATTCATCATTTGGACAAGATGCATATCTGTGCTAAATTTCATGGAAATCCATCAGATGCTTGGTCGAGAGCCCATATTATGCTTTTAAAGGTCATCAAACTTTAAAAGTACAAAGTCCACGTAAAAGGGAGTTGTTCTCACCCACAGAAAATACTTCTCCAAAGTTGCCTTGCTTTCATCAGGCCAGCTGACTAATCACTACAGACGGGGCTTTTCAGGACAGGCCTTTAAGAGACAGGAGTCAAAACAGAGAAGTTTAAACTAAGGATGAGAAAAGCTGCTGCTGCAGTTTACAGTGTGAGAAAAATAATGTGTTTTCTTTTTTTTTTTAACCATTAAATCACGTAAATAAGTTCTTATACAAAATAAAATTAAACACCTGTAAATGTGCCCAATATGGGCTCTTGAGGACATGTCATTATAAACCTAAAATGTCAACCAATCGACCAAATCTAAGATGTCCATCCATCCAATAGTTTCTCAGACATTTCAGTTTGAACCAAAGTGCTGAACATCATCATGCTACAGCCAAATAAGACCTCTTGGATATCCAGTTTTGACCTGTTTTGTGATAAAAACTGCACATCTAAATTAGCCCGTGAACCTTTTACGTCAATGAAGGATAGAAACAGTCAGTCTCAATCATTTTTCACTTTGCTGTCTTGCAGGCTGCAATCCGCAGGGCCACAGTGGAGCGTCTCTTCACCCCAGTGTTGGTGGGCACAGCACTGAAGAACAAAGGTGTTCAGCCTCTGTTGAACGCTGTTCTGGATTACTTGCCGAACCCCTGTGAAGTCAAAAACTATGCCATCCTCAATGATGAGTGAGTGTGGATTAGGGTTGTCAACTTGCATGCAAGGTCTCCTGAACCTGTAACAGCTGATTAAAAAATGAATATAAGACTTATTTTTTTAAATAATTTTCTCTCTTGAAGAATTTTGTCCATTAATATCCATGAATTTTTAGTTGTTGTTTTTTGTTTTTACTTTGTAGAGATTCTGCAGACTCATCAAAGATTGAAATGGACCCCACAAGAGACTCTACAAACCCTTATGTTGGTCTGGCCTTCAAACTGGAGGTAAGACACTTTGAAAAAAAAAAAAGGTCAACTTCTTCCTATGTCCTCACACTCGTTTGTATTTCTGCACTTTTGTAGAACAGGAAGGTCTTGATGAATCATCCTTTGTTGTTTCATACGGTCTTTCTCTTTAACAGGCCGGGAGGTTTGGTCAGCTGACATACATACGAGTGTACCAGGGCTGTCTGAAGAAGGGAGAGTACATCTACAACACACGCACAAGCAAGAAAGTCAGAGTTCAGAGGCTTGTGCGTCTCCATGCTGACCAGATGGAGGTGAGAACAGATCAGCACACGTCAGCAGGCCGTCAGAGGTCTCAGTTTTCCATCTGTGGTTTGCAGTTTAAGCAGCAGAGCAACATGACTGGTCAGAATGGTTAGGTTCCTCTTTTGGATTTAATCAAGTGTGTAGATAACAACCACATCCCCTGCAGCACCAAAATAACATGTTTCCATTTGTCTTGCAGCAAAACAACAACCGTTTAATAGTCACTCATACTATGATTACTAAAAACGCATTATTTGTTTTTCTCCTTTCCATTCCTGCTTTGTAAGGATGTGGATGAGGTTTATGCAGGAGATATCTGCGCTCTGTTCGGGATTGACTGTGCAAGTGGAGACACTTTTACATCCAAGACTAGCACTAACCTATCCATGGTGAGTAGCTTAAGTGTTTTCACAGGGCTAAAGACCCTGTGAGAGAGCATTATTTTAAAATGGTTTTACCTTTCTCTAAGTTATAAGGTACATTTGTGTTCATCTGTTATCATTTTGGTCCCATAGGAGTCTATTCACATCCCAGAGCCTGTCATTTCTATGTCCATGAAGCCTACCAATAAGGTGAAAACATTTAATTTATCTGTAAGAACTGGAAATCTAGAGTCTTAAATGCATCTCTCAACTCTTTTCTTCTATTATCTTGTGTTGAATCCACCAGAATGACCAGGATAAATTCTCCAAAGGTATCAACCGGTTCACCAGGGAAGATCCTACATTTAGAGTGCACTTTGACACAGAGAGCAAAGAAACCATCATCTCAGGGATGGGCGAGCTGCATCTGGAAATCTACTCCCAGGTACCGTGTTACAGAGCCACAGACTAAACAGCATGTTAATTACAACCTGCAACTTTGGTGCGCTGATGGGACATTTAATCCAAAAACAATGTGTATGTATTCTTTGTTTCAGCAATGTCGCTTTAATATTGCTGCTTCATCGGTCTGTTAAAGTGACGGCAGACTGAGGTCACTTTTCATTTATATTTCTCACAGCTTCACTCAGACAAATGCAGTGAAGGAGAAAGTCATGGTTCTAGTGCAGTATTTGCCATCGACTCGAGGTTGGACTGGACATGAAGGTTCCAAGAGCTACTAATTAACAAAAGACTGAACCGAGAACTAGTAGCAAGCTTAACATAGATCTAACAGGAAATTGCATTATCGGATTTTCTGAAATACAGATATGTCACCTGTTAAACACAGAGTTACACTTTATAAGATACAGTACATTTCTAGCTACTGCACTCATGTTGAGTCCTGAGCTCCATCACAGCTGTCGGAATGTGTTTTATCGTATTGTAAAAGTCAGATCCACTTCATTTCCGTTTTTTTAATTGAAGAGATTTTTCAGTTTCACCGTCTAACAGCAGGATATTTGCAGTTGAAGCCTAATTATTGTGCACATGGACGCATTCCAACAACTATGTATAGATAGTAACAACCAAAGCCTTGTCAGATCTGCTCATCTTTTAACGTGACTGCAGGCAGTTCAGACCAGCTCACTCGCACATGAAGCTGGCACATTCAGATGCTGTTCGATTGACAGAAAGCAGTGCATGTCTGAAAAAGGCTTAATTTGGATTGGTTGAGGTTTGGAGCTGCCACCTGTAGCTCTTCCACATACAGTTTACTCAATGGTATTTGGTCTATAGTAGGTGTTGGTCACATTTGAAAGGCAATGTTTCTTCCCCAAATATATAATGCACTTATTTTGCCATATTGGTTTCTTCTTAAATGCATTCACCAGCATGGCTACAAGAGTTCATTATTATTCCTAATTATTGTAAATAGCTGATGTTGCTGCATCACAAACCACTGAGTTCCATCTGACAGCAAACCTCCGTAAATCAGACACACACAGTGAATGTCAGTTTTAAGTTGTAACACATCTGACCTATTGTATGTTTCTGTTGCTTTTCCTCTTTTTTTGGTTCGGTTTGTTGCATTAGAGGATGGAGAGGGAATACAACTGTCCCTGTGTGATGGGGAAACCCAAAGTGGCTTTCAGAGAGACAGTCACCAGTCCTGTACCGTAAGTCCTGATCTACTTTCACACACAAACACAAGACACTAGTTAGTCTGTTTAAATCGTTTATTTAGGCTAAAATACACCAGAAAACAAAAATACAGCACAATTTCAGGATATCATTTCCTTATATAAATGAAGGCTTGATACAATTTCTGAAGTAAAACTCCACTCCTCAGTATTTATTTAGATTTTTGCTGCCAGAATCAGCAGCAAATCTTGGCTTAGCACTTGCAGCGTCATCGTAAACACATGCTCCAATATTCGAATACAAGATGCGAACATCGTGATGTGGTTTTTGGTTGAAATAGCAGTGTGAGGAGTGCCAGCAGTTTAGTCTGTGTTGGGAGGTTTTTCACAACTGTGACAGTGAGGCAGCTGCTCCATCTGCAGCACTTTAACTCCCTCTGCAGCAGACCAGGTGAACAGCAGCTTCCAGGGGAGGATTTCCTGCAACAGTATCAAAATTGTTCAAATAAAATGAGATAACAGGATGTAAAACTGTACCTCACATAGTGCTGTATGGTTTAGCATAAAAGTAGATTATTTAGTGTAAGATTCAGTCAATGCTGACATTATTAGCTCTTTTTCTAAATGAGCCATTTTGAAAAAGGAATTTGTTTAGTTTTTTTATTGAAGAAAATACAGAAAACATTCCTTCTATTTTTTGTCAATGTTGTAAATCAGATTTTGATTCAGTTTAAAATAATTACTCGATGGTCAAATGGGGATTTCCCTTAGTTTTTTATAAGTCTTATGAAGAAAAAAGGCAAAACTTTGGATATATGTTCGTTGTGGTAGTCAGTCAATCAGGCATTTTATAGACTGTATTAATATTCATTCAAGATAATCATGAAAACAAGTGTCAGCTGCAGATCTTGATTTTCAACCATTTTTAAGCGTTTTAAGAAGTTTGTAATAATAATTGCTTACCTGGGACACCATGTCATGCAGCAGTGTGTGACATTCGAACTTCAGCTGGTCGTTCTCAGTTGCCTGCAGCAGACAGAAAATGAGTCCAGAACAAATGTTACACACTTAATCCTCAACTTCCTGTCGAAGTGTTTATACAGTGAACCCTGCCTTGTATGCTTGATGAGGGACTGCATATGAAATCCAGAACACATTTAACAGCTTGTGCAGACATGGCCATGCGGAGGGGTTTCTTCTTTAGTGTGCACCGTTTGCAGGTGAATGTGGATCACACACACTGAAGCAGACATTGTGCTGCACATTAATCATGCATTGTGCCCTTTAACCCTCCGGAACCCAAGCAGTTTCTTAGAGTTTATTGCTCCTGTCTTACTTTTATGACAGGAGTCTTGCACCTTTATGGAAACAGCACAACCACTGATAGAAGTAGAGGATCTCAAAAATGTCTTTTGAGCAGTATGATACAATTAACATGCAATAAATTTAAAAATCAGAAATACAAAACTAATTTTATTTAGATTATATATTTTAGAGAGAAAAAAAGAAGAAATCAACATATTTAACATTTTTCACTAGTTCCTGAAAGCAGAAGAATTAGTCACATGACTGTCACACCTAAACTGGTGTATTTTTAAATGTGATGTGTAGAACAAAATGATTGAGCAAAAATCATGATTTTGAGCCAAAATTTGGATAATTATCCAGACAGAACGGCCCTTTAACCCTAACTAGAGCAAGGACAGTCAAAAAATTCAAAATCCAATGCTTTTTTTTCCTTCTAAATTTACAGTTTCTTGTTTAGTTAAATGGTGTAATTTTGGTGCTTTAAAAAAAAAAAAAAGAAAACAACACACTTTTTAAACCTGCGTGTGGGTTTGGGGATTCAGAGGGCCTAATGAAGAATTATCCTGTTTTATGTAGATACACTTGACTTTATTTTCCTTGCACTGCAAAATAACAATAATGTGCACATTTGGCTTTATGCAACAATTCTGTTTCCAGTATTGCTGCAAATTGATCAAACTATTAACCTTACTTCTAATAATATAATGTGATATAATGGGGTACCTACCAGCTGTGTGATGTTTGACACCTGAGCCATGTTGTACAGAGTGTTTTCAGTGGATTCCTTCAGCATGACGAAGCTGGAGGCCACAATGCCGAGGTGCCAGAGAGGCTTCATGTCAGGCTCAATGTGGCCGTGGCTGTCTGCAGGAAGTTAGCACAGGCCTCCATTATGCCACACATACCATGTTGTAAACATACATGATGTACAGGAGGGCTTCAAATGAAGACAGTAGTTTGTGTTGTATCATGACTAAGAGGAACGCTAAGTTTCCTCAAACACCACAAGACTAATAGTTTTGAAACGCCTAAAAGCAGATGATGTGCAATATGTGTGGATTATTATGCAGAGGCTGATTTATTGGACCTACCAGGTAAATTCTGCGCTGACAGAAGGCTTTGGTTCATCTTGTACTGTTGGTACAGGGCTTCTTCTTGAGCTTTAGTGCTGATATTAAGAAGCTCCTCACATGAAACCTGGACTTGGGGTGATTGTTGCTTCTCTCCACGTGGGAAGAAAACCTCTGCAGAGCATTTCTGTGTAGTCTGGATGAGGTAAACCAGGCAACAAGAGGGACAGGGGTCAAAAAAAAAGAGAGAAAATGGAAGGAAAATCAGGTTTGATAAGAAAAAAAAAAAGAGCAAAGGCGTAGTCCAGATGTTACCATGACAGCCAGTGAGTCAAGATTGCAGCACAGTTAATCATACTAATGTGAGCCTCCAGTGTAGTTATTGTTGTCGAGCCTGGTTCGACCTGCTCACTGTAAAGCCAGAGATTATCCAAATGTGTACTTAAAGCTAAAACTCATACCTTAGATTACTGCGTTTTTCCATGAGCATCGTGCAATTACTTTCTAAAATGCTGAGGGTGGGTGAAGCTAATTAAACATAATTATATTTATCTCTATTTCTCCCAAATGAACATTAAAGCTCCAAAAGCAATAAAATTACTTGAAATTATCGGATTTAAGGGAAGGGAGGGGGAAAAAAAAGTCATTTTATTCAATTTTCATGGTTCTGGCCCATAAAATACAACTCATTTAGAAACTAAATCAAATCTACAATAAACCACAGTTGTAAAAGCTGCTGGATGTATGAAATAAGCTACTCTAATGAGTCCTCTCTGTGGATTTTGTCATTTAAAGAAACAGAATAAAACATATCCTACATTGCTGATGATCTCGTGCACTGAGATCTCCAGCTGGTACTTTCTTCCAGTGTCTGCTACATCCTAAAAGAGAAAGAAAAGCCATAGTGAGAACTTGTGTCCCGTCACTAGTCTGTGTTTGAACCAGCTATAAAAATTGGCGTCTGGTTGCAGTAGTGAACTTGATCTGACCTCAGCGTTTCCACTGTGGACCCTCTGCAGTCCAAACAGCCTGTATGGGGATCCGTAGCGGGTGGTGAGGTAGTGTTGCACCACCTTAGCTGCTCTCTGAGCAGGGTAGTGATTGGGATTCAGCTCACCAGTTGCCATCACATCCTCCTCTGCCTCCTCTTCTCCTAGTTCTACGTTCTGTGCACAAAGAGGGCAAAAATAATGGAGAAAGTGAGAACAGACGCTCCCGTACTGAGCAGGGATGGGCTTCCAGACCCTTAGGGACTTTGGACTCAGGGTGGGGCTTTTGTCTCCAGATAGGTAAAGTCTCAGCCACAAGGGGAACATCCAGTGAACAAAGTGGAAAGGAAAGCAGATATTTAAGCACAAGGTGAAGACATGTACAGCTGGAAAATGTGATGAACAGTGAAGTAAATAAGGGAGTCAGATCTTGCCTGTAACTGGAATGTTGAGGCTCCCTGCCGACTACTTGGCAGGTGGAAAGTTTTATGTGTTCGGTGATCCGAGTCAGCTGCCCGTCATGCACATGGAAAGGTTACTTCCCACTTCCTTTGACAGCAGAGCTCTTTGAGGCCGGCCCCTTTTTTAAAGAGGCAGAACCCTTTTCTGTTTCCCCATACGCTCTCTGCTTCAAACTGTTATACAGAACTTACAATGCAAGTAAATAGATCTTTACAAATGTTTGTAGGTAACACATGAAACAGGGTTGGTGCTGCAGAAATGCAGTTTCAACTACAATCAAACTATTTAGTCGTGTAATTACACAAACTAACTTTTTATTTAAAGATCACCTCCAACAAAAGCTCGACTACCTGTTAAGAAATTCTTAAACATGACAGCTGCTCCTCATTGAAAAATCCAAAATCTGCAAATGTGCAAATATTTGTTCTTTTAAACGATGACTAACTAGGTGGTCCGAAATTACAACAAAGTAGATTTTTAGTGTAATGTAAGCTTCGGTTTTCTACATCACACTTGCGTAACCAGCTGTGCCGTCATAAATTCTGCTTTACACCCTTCATTTCAGCTGCGCCTGGAAAATCTTACAGCAGAAGAATATAAAACAGTTTTTAGCTTCAAACACTAAACATATTAAAGATACACTTAGAATTTTGTTCTTCTGTTGCTGAATTTGTGATTTGGTTTTGTGGGAAGTGATGTACTCTTAGAAAGACATAACAAATGGAGGTTTCTTCCTAAAGATGCACAAAAATCATTTATAATGGAGTATTAATACATCTTATACTTAGAAAGTTGAACTTAAATTCCAAATAATCATAAAAGATGAGAATTGTATTTTTGTTTGCCGTTACAGTATATTAGTGTTTTCTGAGGAGTGCGTGCTTGTTATAATTGAGTGATTATGTTTGCCTTATTCAGCTTTACTACCAGAGCTGTTTAGAGATGCAGTGGAGACCCTTCATCACCCTGCTTCAATATGTGGATGCTTTGCCCCTTTTATCTGTAGGTTTGACTTCACCCACAAGAAGCAGTCAGGCGGCTCAGGGCAGTACGGTAAAGTCATCGGGGTCCTCGAGCCTCTTGAGCCTGAGCATTACACCAAGCTGGAGTTTGAAGACCAGACTGTTGGAACCAACGTCCCAAAGCAGTTTGTGCCAGCTGTTGAAAGGGTATTTGCAACCTGGAACATTTCTCAATTTAATGTGACCACGATCAGCTATGTTAGGAAACACAAAGTAAAAGCAGCTTGTGTTTTAAAACTGAGCTTCCTCAGTTCTTCATTTTGCCTGTTTCTTCCCATCATGCAACAGGGCTTCAAAGAGGCCTGTGAGAAGGGACCGCTGAGTGGACACAAGATCTCAGGAGTCAGATTCCTCTTGGAGGACGGAGCGAACCACATGGTCGACTCAAACGAGATTTCCTTCATTCGTGCAGGAGAGGGCGCTGTTAAACAAGGTGAGGATCAGATGTTTGCACTCTGACCTCCTGTTTCCTCATTTCATTTCATCCAAAGCTGCTTCTTCTGCCTTTTTTTTTTTTTAACGTACGTTCGCTGTTTTTGTTGTTTGTTCCACAGCTATGGAGAAAGCCAACGTAGTCATCCTGGAGCCGATCATGTCGGTGGAAATCGTAGCACCTCAGGAGTTTCAAGGAGTCGTCATTGCAGGAGTAAACCGTCGCCACGGAGTCATCACAGGACAGGATGGAGCTGAAGGATACTTCACTCTGTATGCTGATGTGAGTCCAGTTTGTACATTTGTCACATATATAGCTCCCAAATTTTATCTTTCTTTACCAGCTTTGGTATTTCATTAATTCCATCTTGTTTCTTCCAACAGGTTCCACTAAACGACATGTTCGGCTACGCTACCGAACTACGCTCCTGTACTGAAGTAAGTTCAACCTTGAAAATGCTTAATGGCCAGATCCCGGTTAGCCTTCAGTGTCTAAGTTTGAAAGGTGTGGTACTTAATATTTCATTCTGGCAAATTATCTGAAAAAAAGCTGGAATTTGTAGTATTTTTCCAGCCTTGAGTAGTGTTTTTACTTTTCCTTTCAGTCTGTCGGTGCAGCCTCCACTCTATATGTAGCCTGTGAAGAGGCATTTAGGGGAAATAAAGCCTGCAAATCACTCTCTGCTGCTCAGATAATACTGCTGGGTTCTCACAGTACAAAATGGAGGTGACTCAGATGAGCAAATCAATATGTCGATCAGCTCCTCTGTTCACTCAGCAGGATTATGTCGGCTTGATAGTGGATACTGTTTAGAGGATTAAAATTTAAAACAAGTCAAACTGGAGAAGTGGGGGCGACAAATACAGCTGAAAATAAACTCTTACACAGGGTTCTACAGTTGTACAGGATTCGTAGAATAGCACTTCCGTAATTCATGATAATTGCTAACGCATTCCGTCATTGTTTATTCAGGGAAAAGGAGAGTACACGATGGACTACAGCAGATATCAGGCCTGCCTGCCGGCCACACAGGAAGAACTCGTCCACAAATACTTAGAGGCTACAGGACAGCTGCCCGCAAAGAAGAACAAGTGGAAGAGCTGAACTGTCCATTCAAGTGTTCATTGTTGGACTTTGACGTCAACCCTGTCTCTCATGTTTTCTGTCCATCATCAGCCAGGACTTTAAATTTATGGAGCCAAACAAAACATTTGATCTCTTTGGTGGTTTAGCCCTCCCCCTTCCTAATGTCTGACTTCTACAGAAAGCATATTTATTACCTTGATTTTAGCAGCATTTCACCTCTAAACTGCAGCCAGTGTTCACAAAAAGTTTAGTTACAGCAAGCTCTGTGTTTGGACTTGAGCTTATAATGGCTTTTGTACTATGTACAAAATGATCTTGGTGTAATCATGATTGCAACAACGACATAGATCCTCCTTTCAAAGTGTGCAGGTTCATGATTTCACAACAAACAAACCCTCAGAAACACTTGATTAGTTCTTGCACAGTCTTGAGTTTGCAAAGCAGCTGAGTAGAAGCTAATTCTTCTCACCTGTCCTGGTTCCTCTGCCGTCTCAGGTACGCTGTTGGGATGAGCCGTTATGTCCACTGAGACAGTTTCAGGTCTGACGGTCCCACTGGGGCTCCCGGTTACCCCCATTAACACAGCCAGAACAGCAACGATCCTCAAACCCATTATCGTACGCTGTGAGACAGATGCTAGGGAAAAGCAAAAATGACTTCTGTGAGAGAGTCCAGGAAGGAAAATGACCCTCCTGTCAGTGTGGAGTTACGCAACAAGAAGCAGGAGGAGGGAAAGCTGAGAGGAAGAGACTGTCCAGATCTTCCTGGCACGATCTGTTTGTTTTCTCTCCTCTTAGCTAAACAAACTGCTCCGCTTTATCTGGTTCTGTTCCTCATATCCTCTCAAGCAGCTCATTTAAGCTGTCAGCCCCTAAATGTTTCAACACCCTCACAAGAAGGAATGATTAGTTCAGGAATCCCATTAGAGCTGCTGCTGCTGCAGGTGTGATTAATCGGAAAGCTTGATGGGTTGCAGCTTCGCCTGGTCTGCTGTGTGTTAGATTAAATGTAAAGGGAGCAAAACGTTTACTGAGCCAAATTAAACACGTCCTGGAAATTTGGGGTTGTCCAAACAGAACATCTACAGAGTCTAGAGACTGTGCTTGGAGAGTGAAGTTATGCAACGGCAAGAGGAGAGGATGAGAAAAGTAGGTACATTTGAAGATCATCATACTTCTACAACAGAATCCTCCCATAAGATATACTGAAAGATTTGAGTATGTAGATATAAAATGTTTAAGTAAAGGGTTTTAATCTGCTGTGGTCTGGTTTGAAAAACAACTTGATGTTGCTGATGAAATTACATGATTAAGACATAATTCTCTTTGAGACTAAACGTTCTTTGTGACCTAGAAAAAGCAGTTCACAAAACAGTCTCACCAAAAGGTCATTTAGTACTGACAGACGTCATGGTGAGGTTTTGTCTGCAGATGTTTGTTACAATAACTGATAAGAAGAAGAAATGGAAGGCAGAGTTCTGGAGTTCTTAAAACAGCTGATAACATGAAAGACTGTCAAATGTCTTGTTTTGCACAGCATCTCTGACTTTAATCTTGGAACATAAACACTTGAATTCATAGGAATGATCCTGAGATTATGCTCTAGCTTCCTGTGGCGGAAAGTACAATTTTAAAGTCTGTTGCTACAGTATTTTCATCTTAGGGTACTTTATATTTATACTGCAACACAATCGAGAAGCAAAAATTGTACTTTTTCCTCCACATTTATTTGACAACATAGAATTAGAATTAGAATAAAACTTTAAGTTTATAGTCAATGACTTTACTGCAGGTTTTGTTTTGCAAGGAAAAATATGATTAAATAAATTATGATGTAAGATTACAGCTTAAACATTGAACTTAAATTACATACATGTGTAGTTAAACCAACTGTTCAAGCTTCAACAATATCATAAACACATTACTGTATCAATAAATATAATCCAGTAATATAACATAAGTCATTCTGAAATATGCCATTCCCCAAAGTGATTATTTTTGATACTTTAAGTGTATTTTGATGCCAATTCGTTTGACTTATGTAAACAGAGCACATCTGTACTGACGTATTGCAAGTACAAAATCAGAGCACTTCTTCCACCTCCACAAGTTTCTTATATTCCAAATAAATAGCTTTGACTTGCTCCCATTTAAATCCCTCACATGCTGCAACGAATGATTCTTTTCTTTATCGATTAACTGGCATTTATTTCCTTGATTTAGTCCCTGAAACATGACTAAAAATGATAGAGTTCAAGGTTACTTATCCAGAAAAACTATTCCAAACTATACAATTCACAAACAAAAAAATCTTCACATTGCAGAAAATCTTCTGAGCGGTGGCTCATAAAGTTTTTGTCGACTGAGTAATTACACAGCTCTGAGCACCATTAGTTAAAGAATACTCCCAGTAAATGGAGAAAATTTGAGGGTTGGAAATTTTAATGACAGTTTATGTGTTCTACAAAATCAAAACAGACACTCAACATACTGAAGTGAACTGACAGGCTTTTCATCTCACATTGTGTTGCAGATACTGCAACTAAAATCCATTAAATAACACTACAAAACCTGCATTAGTCATGAGACCAGTCACATTTGTCAGCAGCGTGTACAGTTAGATAGAACACGGTGGATGTGCACTCAGTGGCCACTTTATTAGGTCTACAGTCCTTCTGAAGAGTTTTCACCGACCATGGAAGTTTCATTGCTTTTCATAGTCAATTTAATTTGGTCTCTCTGACAAGAATTTACAAAAAAAAGAAGACTTTCAAGTCAACGTGAAAACCTAATTCTCCAAGTGCCATTCAATAATTAAGAACATAAAACCATTTCTATGTCGTGTTGGCTGTATTGTTTGGGTCCTTGTCTTTAAAAAAAACAAAACAAAACAAAGATTTCCCGATATTTTGCTGCATTCATTTCACCCTTTACTTTTACAAAACCTCTCGGGCTTACTGCTGAAGCAACTCAACATCATGATGCTGCCACCACCATGCTTCACAGTGTGGAGGGTGTGTTTGTGATGATGTTTCATGTCTAGTCTGATGGCCAAAAAGCTTTAGTTTCATCAGACTCTGGAATTTCCTCTAGTTGACTCCAGGGTCTCTCACATGCTTTCTGGCAAACTTTAGTCGAGCTTTAATATGAACTTTTTTCATCAGTGGCTATCTCTACGCCACTCTCTCATAAAACTTTGACGGGTGAAGAACAGGCACCACTAGTTATTTGCACAATCTTTCCCTTCTAGCCACCAAAGGTTGTAACTTCTTCAGAGGAGTCATAGGGGTCTTGGTGGCCTCCCTCGCTAGCCTCTTTCTTGCACAGATTGCTTATTTTACATGTCATATTTTGAATTAATTGGCCTTACCTTGTCGAAATCTGTTTTCACTTTGACGTTAAAGAGTCTCCTTTATTTTTTCTGTAAATTCATGTCCAAAAAAACTAAATTGTGCTGAAAAGCAATTAAAGGGAAAACTTCCAAGAGGGGTGAATACTTTTTACAGGCCTTGTACCTGTACAGATTTTTTTTTAAAAGCTGAACACTGCAGCTCAATCATATATTCTATGTTTATGAATATATATGTTCAGTTTTCATTGGAAATGTGTGTATTCAAGTATTTGTTTTATCACTGAGGTCATAGTTATATTGCAAGATACCTTTCTGTCATGCAGTGGGAAAAAATGCAGTCCTGCAGTCGTGTGCAACACCTGAATCAAAAGCTCTATGTCTGTGTCAAAACCTGAACATTACATTGCATCATGAAAGGAAGATGCCATTTGAACTGTACAGTGCTAACTAATAAAGTAATTACTGAGTGTATATAGAAAACAGTCATTAGAATTGTGCATTACAAGCTTGAAGTCTATATTTAAGAAACAGAGCACATCTCTGTCAACTTGCTCTTCTTTCTCCTCTTCTTCACACGTGGCACCTGCTGGTAAACACTCTGAGCGTCACGTCTACAATCTGCCTCCGGCACCTGATTCTGCTGCCTCTTATATCCATCATTTCCCGGCCGTACGTCCCGGGGCAGATTGTCAATGAGCTCGTAGAGGGTGAAGATGCTGAAGCAAATTTCATCATAGGCCGTTTTGGTGCCGCACTCGAACAGGCAGGCGAAGGCCACGGCGGGAGGCGCTCCAGGGGAGGGCGACAGCTCCAAGTAGGCCAGGTCAGAGTAGGCGCTGGGGCCCTCGTAGATCACCCAGGGGCCACGCCAGCTGTCTGGATCACGGGGAAAAAGGCTGAGGAACACGCCAAGATCCTTGCGTGCAGTGGTCCATGTTGGGTGGGAGTATACTACCCAGGTAGGGGTGAGGAAATCTGGGGTGGCATCGTGATGGGGTGACAAAGTATTGGGAGTTGAAGAGATGCTTGAGGGAGGCGATGCTGCGATGGATGTGGATGCAACAGAACTTGTGTGATTGTAGTTGGCCATGCAGGATGTCCAGTGTCTAGAGCCAGGCACAGGTTGCTGTAAGTGATTGTTAAGGCGTTGCTGTAGATGTAACGGGGCAGGAAATCCAACAATACTACCATGACAACCATTTCGAGGCTCCACCAGCCGCTGCACCAGCTGCCCCTCCTGGAACACGGCTCCATCGTCCAGACTGAGGGCCTGCACCCTGTATCCCAGAGGGCTGCGCGCATTACAGTACAATACATTAGTCCCGTCCTCCTCGTCCACAGACACCATCTGACACTCCACACTCTCCGGACCTGGCACCGCCTCCCCGAAACGCCAGCTTCTCCCGTGGGTGTCGCTGTGAAAGCAGAAGGCGTGGGGAGTGGTCTGGCAGAGCTGTCCGAAGCACTCTTTGCACTCGATGTGGTAGGCATAGGCAGGAATGAGCAGGCGACCTGACTTCAGCTGGATGCCGTGACCTGGGCCGAGAGCGAACGTGGCCCATTCTGCCAGGAAGGACAGAAGAAACTAGATAGTCAAACTGCATCAATTTAAGGGGGTGGGGGGGTTTACAGTGTAGATGGATTGTTCATAGATCCTTATGGCTGCATGTGCATGATTTCTGAGCCATTTAGTTGTTCTGTTTAAATTAATTTTTTTAGACCTGTTGACACAAAGCCAATCAGCAGTTTGCGAGGTAAAAGCAAAAACAATTTTGTCAGCAGAACTTAATACTTCAACAACTTTTATTACTGAGCTCTTTCGGGAATTCTAATTTTAATGTTGGAAACTCCCAGAACAGCAGAGAATAGGAAAAAATATTTAGATTAGCTGTAATCACCTAAACTGTAACTGGATGTAATATCTTAAACACAAACATGTCATATTTTTAATCCCTCTCATTTCTAACCAAAACAGACTTTTCTATGTTTGCAGTAATGATAATAACTCAGTGGAAGTCTGTTTTAAAGTGGATGTTCCCTCTACAAATGTTCCTGACCTTTGATGGTGTCTCCTATGACCCTCATGGTGAGGTCCGTGACGGTGCTCCAGGTGTCCCCACCGTCCGTGCTGGAGATGAAGCAGAGTCGGGTCACGTTCTTCCCTGTTACCAGCTGGTAGGACTCTGAGGTGTGGCCCAGGACAGCGATGAAGAAGAGGAAGAGGGTTCCTGTGAACTCATCGTACACCGGGCAGGGGTTCATGGAGCGGTGGCCCGGCAGGAAAGCAGTGCCCAGAACACAAATGTCCTCCCACTGAAGAAAAACAGAAGACAGTGGTGTAACAGGTAAAAATCACAGGAGACAAGAAATTACTAAATAAGGCTAAGGACATCTGTAACATTTCATTTAAAACAGCCAGTTTGCCCAAAATACATATCTTCTCATCTTAAAAAACAAAACAACAACTCAGCATCTCCTGGCTTTTAACTGTCTTCTTGAAATCTGAAAAAAAACACAAAAAAAACTAACTTTTACAATCACTTCATTTGCCTGAGTTTTTACCAATCAATGTTATTCTTATTACACAAGGTGATGTGAATTTTACTGATAAGCTTCAAACATTTAAAAAAAAAGACGAGGTTCTTGTTTTCGTGTACAGACATGAATTTCATCTTTTTTCATCTATGTCATTCTGTAATATTACATACTTTTTCGAGCTACACTTTATGCCTACATTGTTTTTATTTCTTAATTTTATGCTTTATGCTCATTTTTGCACTGCAATATATACTGAGATGTTCCTCAGGAAAATACCACCTGTTGCAATGAATGTAGTGCTAAAAGTCATTGCATATGTTTTATTGCTGGTCATTGGGTTTTTATCCCAGTCGACATAGGGCGACGGCAGGGGACACCCTGGACAGGTCACCAGTCCATCGCAGGGCTACACTTAGAGACAGACAACCAAGCACACTCACACTCACACCTACGGACAATTTAGAATCACCAATTAACCTCAACATGTTTTTGGCCTGTGTGGGAGGAAGCCGGAGAACCCGGAGAGAACCCACACTGCACGGGGAGAACATGCAAACTCCACGCACTCCTGGTGTCCCCATCAGGACGTGAACCGGCGACCCTCTTGCTGTGAGGAAACAGTGCTAACCAACTGCGCCACCTTGCAGCCCAACTCAAGTAGTTTTTTAAACAAATCATCTTGTTTCTGGTAGTACAGTGGTGCCAAACTAAGTATCACAGGTTTTGTATCTGTCGTCCTGGGCTCATGAGCATCACTGACCTCCACATAGTTCCTGTAGAAAGTGCCTTTCCTCATGACCAGCAGGTGAGCCTGAGAGTCGGACGGACTCAATCTCTCCTCACAGAAGGCCAGAAATGACCTGGAGTTCGGCAGGTAGAGCAAAGCTGGGACTCTGTACGTCACTCCGTTTGACTCCTTACGAAAAAGCACCGATCTCGCCGGGAAATAGGGCGACTTCATGCTCTCTGCTGTGTGAATGCTTCAAGGTAAATCCAAATCTTCTGAGGAGGAGAATCAGATTAAGCATCACTGGACGAGTCTGCTCAGGCACACAAGATTTTCAGCAGCTCTCAATCTGGTGAACTTTACAAACAAATGAGCAGGAAGATACATGAAGACATTCAGGTAAATTAACAACAAAAGCTAAACAAATACAAATAGGAACAGGTGTATACTCTACATTGTCAGATTCACTACTTTAGGTGTTTTCATTTGAGATCAAAACACAAGATTTATGTGCAAATAGCTTGTAAATATATACATCTAAGCCAAAATCATTGATACTCATGCCAAACTTTAGTTTATAGCAAAACTGTATTTGGCATCTCATGCAGCATAACATCTCTGACAGAATGTCTTTCTGTCTCTTGTTTATGTCATTTCTAGCCAGACAAAAAAAACCTTCTCATCAAATAGAATTCACTTTGGCACGAGCATGAATTATTTAACCTTCTATTCTTTTGTATATATCGATATCAAACTGTTTGTAACTTTACAGTGAAGAAACATAAACTAATATGAGTTCTGTTTGCCATCACAGCAGAGTTAATACGCCTTTTACTGGAGCCGCCGTTCAAGTCGTCGAACCTCATACAGAGTTTTGACTTGCAGTGTTAATTACGGAGATACATATTCAAGAAAGACACAGATGCATACCACTCTGAGCACAACATCCAAACACAACTTTTACCTTATGCCTCAGATGTTACAACAAACTGGGTTTAAAGGCTAAATCAGAAGATGTATCCTCTCGCTCGTCATGTCATCACGGAGGAGTTGTTAACTGACAAAAAGCTTTGTGTATTAATAGACAACAAACTGTGAAACAACCTCCTCACAGCTTCGGCGTCACTTTTCACCATCGCACATGAATCTGCTTCATAACAGGAAACTGTCACTGCAACAACACTATGAGGATGAAACTGTAACTAATGCACAGAGCGTAAGCAGAAAACGGTAAATGACTGCAGAGTACTTACATTTAAAATGCTCTGTGAGAACTGCTCCTGCTTTGGGGGGATGTACAGGATGTGTTGACGGTGTAACGTGTGTGTGAGTAGTCAGTTCGTGCGTGTCCTCGGGTCTGAAAGCTATGGCCTCTTCTCACTGTTCCCTATTCAGTGCAGCAGTATGGCATGCTGCTCACTGACCCAGAAATGGCCCACACTCATCAGATCTGCAGCTTTGGATGAATCAGCGGAGAGCAGCCATTGTGGAGATGAAGGCCAGGTGGGGGACACGCTGGACAATGATTCCGTGATCTGCCTCCGCTGTGTTTTTCTTTTTCATTTTCTGCAAAATGTGTAACACACAAACTTCTACTGTTGCCTTACATGTCAGATTTTATCTGTCCAAGACATTATTGTTTTCATGCCTTGTACTGTGCATTACATCCTATTAG